CTAAGAATTTCTACTCCCAAGGGGATAAAATAGGGAATGAAACTTTGTATGAAACTTTGTCAATTTTAAACCGATCGGGCTGAGACTTTGCATGCAGGTATAAGAAGAATCATAGATGAATGTCATTGTGTATAATGCAAGCCTGAGAACAAAAACTGTACTCTACACTTCTGCTCTACACCGAAGCGAAGCGAGGGCGGTATAATATATATACATACTCTCGAAAAACAAATCTTTAACAAAAACACACTATAACACTTCAACTGTCTACTTATCATACTAGGACATGCGGATGAATGGACGAACGTATGGTTGGGCAGCAGAGCCGAAGTAATATGAAAACCTTTACCTCCGTTTGGTTTCGAAACTCAAAACATCAGACCTAGATAAATCTACACAGTTCGTGGTTTCTTTAACAAATAATGCGGCGGAACAATTCAGCTGAATCTAACGTTACCTCCGACATCAAGAAAATGCTAGGATTAAGTAAATTTCAATTAAGTAATGGCACAGTTATTCGAACGACGACCTGACAAATATCCTTTAATCTCTTAAGAATTGGTTGTCCCGGTTTGTTAAATACTCCATCAGTCTTGGAGTCAACGTAACTTAGCTTGTGTACTCACGCTAAGCGGTTCACTTAGGGTGTGCTTAGAGTGTACTCAAGTTATAGAAAGTTTTAAGCTCGATTTCGGAGTTTGTAAGTTAGAGTACCTATTCATGTTACATGTTTACAAATTGTAAATAAATAATACAATATTATTATAGGCATTAAGTGTGAAAATTATCTAAAAAGCAAAATGTTAATAATCATTTCATATTTTTAAAAATGTAGTCTATGATTAAATACAGCATTTGGAACGGAAGAAGAAAGCGCGAACGAAAGAAAAAAATATACACAACACATAAATCAATTAGTTGATCAATTTGCTTAATACAATAAATCAATTAGTTGATCAATTTGCATAATACAATAAATCAATTAGTTGATCAATTTGCTGAAACATCAGGAAATGTAAATTTCATAACTTAACTCAAAGAAGACGTTCAATGCATAATTCAGATTACAGATGAATAGAAACCAAACAATGCCCAGCCCAAGACACCTAGACAAAGGCTTACTTAACACAGAAAATGAGCACAAAATATAGGAGTGAAGTTCGTTAAAAAAAACGTTTGTCGATACTGTTTCTCAGCATAACACAGCGTTGCGTCACGCCCCACGCTTATGAAAATGGGAGCGGTTTTTGCGGACTTTTGCCTGAAAATAGGTGAAAATGCTCACTTTGCGGCGCTCGTGAGAATGACGCCGCGGCGTGTTCACACGTGCTAGTGTTGTTACACGTTTTGTGGATATCGATATTCACAGTCGATAATTATGGATTTGACATTGAATTGTTTTATTGATGATAATGCCTTAGTAGATTATTATAACTTTAATTTCAATTTTGAACATTTTTTTTATAACATCTTTAGGTGATTTGGTTATACCCCTAGTGACAACAGTATAATGGAACTCAAAATGTTTATATCATTTATTTAATTGTCTTTTATTTTTTTTAATAGGTAAACTATAAGAATATGTCGTTAATCAACCTTATGGCAGGATCAAAATTGTAAGACCATTCAGACCAAGTCGTTTTTGTTATCTGGTTCATTATAATTGGCATTAATCGTAGAAATTGGTTTCAATTATCTCTAAGCTAACTTGTCTCGTCGCAACATAATTAACTTAACTAGTTATATTATCGATGTATTTAATAGCGATAATGAAATAATAATTAGACCTTAATATGACAACAATAGTACCACACTATTTACATACAAAGGAGGTTCTAGTTTTAATTACAGTAAAAGAAATAATGACTTTATTAAAATAGTATTAATAAAACTAGTTAAGTTGATTGTCTCATACAATAGGTCTTATAATTATGTTTTAATTATCTCGATAGTGAGTATTTTATGTTAAAAAATAAGAAGTCAAAGAAATTGGGGAATTTCTGTTCTCAAATGCTTAAATTTGGGATTTTGCAATGCAAAGAACGAAAAACAACTTCATTAAAATAGTATTAACAAAACTAATTTAGTTTATTGTCTCATACAATTAGCCCTATCATCATGTTTTCATTATCTCGATAGTGAGTATTTTACGTAAGAAAATAATAAGTCACAGAAATTGGGGAATTTCTGTTCTCAAATGCTTAAATTTGGGATTTTGCAATGCAAAGAACGAAAAAAAAAACCCCGAATTAAAGCATTTGATAACCGGAATTACCCAATTTCTTTGACTTCTTATTATCTTACATAAAATAATAAGCGAAACGTCAATAAATAGTTAGAAGACGCTAAGATAAGTTAACGTATAGGTATGATAAAAGTGATAGAAAACAATATAACATATCACACTTCATTCATACGATGTACTAAATGAAGGAAATGGTATATGGAAGGAAATACTTCGGCTCGGAAGCCTATAATGGCATCTAATTGGCTCGTTACAGAAGCAAATTACAATAGCTATATTTATAACATTCGATACGTTCAAGGGATCGCTTTCGAAGAAAATCCGTTTTCCTTTGAATACCAAAAATAATTATAATTCATAATAAACGTCATTCGTATATGAAGCTAATGTTCCACGTTGTGTGATTTCTTATAAGAGATTATGTTATTTAGGTAACAATGAATGATCGTAATTAATCATAATGTTCTGCTAAATATCTTGATTGTGAGCAGTTTTGTCAGGTCCGATTTTCAAAAATCGGGATGCGTTACAGAAAAAAACAGTAGATGTATCGTAACAGATGTGTTTCTGTGGCTTCTGCCGCCCCTCAAAGCTATTTTTTTATACAATTACATTTATTTTATAATTATTAAAGGTTATCTACATTATTAATGACGGAAAATGCAACTCAACATTCAATTTAAAAAAGAATATCGTATTCTAAAAAAACAGGAAATTCATGTAGAAAAACAGTAGAACAGGAGAAATTTCAGAAAAACGGGAGTTCTCCTGTAAAATCTGGAGACCTGGCAACACTGATTGTGAGTTTTTTACTTATTCATACAGTTGTGTAAGAGACGAACTTCTTAGCAATCCATGGATTCACCGTGCGGGTGCCGGTTTCATCGTGTGGAAGTGAGAGAAACTCTGTGCAGATCCCCGGGATTTGCGACCTAGGTGTAGGTTTAAGGAGGCCCCATTTGAGAACCGCATTAACGCCAGCGTTGCCATTGATACGGCAATTACCATAATATACGGCAGTTTAAGCTCAAAATTTCAGATTATACGGCGGGTTTGTCATTGCCGTATAATAATATACGGCAATCCAATTTTGTTTTGAATCGATTTACAAGGATAATGTTATGAGTTAATTACGATTCCAACAGAATATCGTATAAAATTGTAGTAAAATTAGGTAATACGGCAAAATCATGATATTTATTTACTAATACGGCAATCTGATATATCGAATACGGCAACTCTATCAAACTTGATGGCAACACTGATCAACGCTCACTTTCACTGCACGAGTTGCCCGCCCTTCCTAGCTAAAGATAGGAGCATGTTAGCACAGCCTTAGTTACTTAGTTAAAGTTGAACTTATTGCAGTTCTCGACAGACCTAGGTCACATATCTTGGAAAAAATTACTATTCAATAGGAAAAGGGTTTATTTAGGTACTAATACAACTTAATTTCAAAACTCACATTCACTTTTTGTAACGCAAATCATGGTAAGATAAGCGGTTATAAATGAGAAGAAGATTTTACTGTAAGTTTAACTTTGACTTCTTTGTAAGTTCAATAAGTTGATGTTGAGAGCCCTGATTACACTGTCCTATACCAATATGTAAGGTTTCAAAATGTTTCCATATTTAGGACTTTAACTACCCCATACTCTTAGATTAATATAAAACTCATTTTGATTTAATCTAAGCCCTTACCAGATAATGTGAAATACATCTCGCCAATTGGTTTTTGACCCCTTAAAGTTTTTGACCCACAAATGCCGTGTAAACATTAAACCTGATCCTTATTCTAAATAGCTTTTTCTTACTTTATTTTACCATGGAATTATGTAAATGCTAGCTTTTTTGCCTATTTATAAATATTATTTTGTGATTTTATTTATTTTTTAAGCATTTAACTGCTAGATGTTTAAATCTAAAGAATAGGGCCGTGGTAGCATAATGGTCAGTGCAGTCGCCCGGATAGCGAAGGATGCGGGTTCGAGTCCCGTCCACTGCCTGGTCCGCGTGGATTTTTTTCTAGTAAACTTTTCTTTAGATTTAAACATCTAGCAGTTAAATGCTTAAAAAATAAATAGAATCATAACTATAATTGCTATTTCTTCTTTCAAATGTTTAATACTTGAAAAAGTATTCATTTGACATTGTGGGTTACCTACAATGCGAAGACATGGCGCTGCCTTGCAGCTTAAGGCTAGGAAAATTTCAACGCGGCTAATAGGGCCGTGATAGCATATTGGTCAGTGCATTCGCCCGGATAGCGAAGGATTTTTTTCTAGTAAACTTTTCTTTAATATTATTTTGTTTAATATTTATTTTGTAACATCGTAATTGTTTAAACTATTCGTGTGAATCTTTGACTCGCATTTTACTTTTTCTAGTACGACCTACGTAGCCGAGTGGTATATACGTCGGGTTTCAAGGTGTCGCCCACTCAAGAAGTCTCGGGTTCGAATCCCGGTGAGGGCAGATGTTATGTGTGATGAATACTAGAATTTGTAATCCAGTCATGGATGTTTAATATACATATCTATATAAATATACTTAAATATGTATCAATGTATTCTATCCGTTAACCTAGTATCCAATTACACAAGCCTATCCCATAACACAAGCCTTACAGTGCTTACTTTGGGGCTAGGCTAATTGGTGTGACTGTTGGAAATATTTATTATTCATTTATTTATTCTAGTACATTTTCTTTGTACTATAAACACTATAAAGATAAAAGAACCAAAGATTAACTTACCAATAGCTAACAAAGTCTTCAACTTAGGATTGGCCTTCTTCAGACTGTTTATTCTGTCGTACAACCCAGTCTTTCCGTCCTTGGTCTCATCGTTTGACTCGAAGGAGCTGAGCTTGCCCTTCTTCAGCCAACCGAAGGCGAATATGATGTGGGTGCAGAGGTCCGGCTGAATGTCCTCGGGCATGAATTTGCCGATCTTGGTTCTGTATTGGGACCAGTTGGTGTAGTAACAGACCACCTGGAGGAAACGGGTCAATTGTTAATAAAACAAACACTCCAAGCGAGCTTTTTAGCATAAACTAGAAAGTAAACCTTTTTCAATTTGTACGCCAAATTTATTAGGAAACTGACGACTGTCCCTTATTTGTAGTAAATCTTATCTATATACTAGCGGCCCGCCCTCGCTTCGCTTCGGTGTAGAGCTGAAGTGTAGACAACAGTTTTTGTTCTCAGGCTTGTATTATACACAATGAAATTCATCTATGATTCTTCTTATAACTGCATGCAAAGTCTCAGCCCGATCGGTTTAAAATTGACAAAGTTTCATACAAACTTTCATTCCCTATTTTATCCCCTTGGGGGTAGAATTGATCAAAATCCTTTCTTAGCGGATGCCTACGTCATAACATCTACCTGCATGCCAAATTTCAGCCCGATCCGTCCAGTGGTTTGGGCTGTGCGTTGATAGATCACTATGTCAGTCAGTCACCTTTGAGTTTTATATCTTTATATATATAATTCTTCTGTGAGTGTGTATGTCACTGAACTTCTCTTAAACGACTGGACCGATTTTGATGAAATTTTTTGTGTGTGTTCAAGGGGATCTGAGAATGGTTTAGATTCACAATTTTGTCCGCTGGACAATGTTTTTTTAATTAATTTTTAATTTATTAGTAGACGAAGTTTGCTGGGTCAGCTAGTATATAGATATAAAAACAATTGCTGTTCGTTAGTCTCGCTAAAACTCGAGAACGGCTGAACGGATTTATCTTATCTTGGTCTTGAAATGTTCGTGGAGGTCTAGGGGAAGGTTTAAAAGGTAGAAAAAAATCGAATAATTGCCGGGAAAACCCCAAAAACAGCCCTTTTCGTTTTCCAAATAAAATTTAGAGAGAACTAAAACTATATAGTCTGCACTACAACTCTACACCGAAGCGAAGCGAGGCCGGGCCACTAGTATTATATATAACATTCTCGTCTCACAATGTTAGTTACCATACTCCTACGAAGCGGCTTGACCGATTTTTATGAAATGTTACATGCATATTCAGTAAGTATGAGAATCGACTGACTATCTATTTTTCATACCACTTAGTGATAAGGGTTGTCCACCCCTAAAATTTATTTTTTGTTTTTGGTATTTTTTTTATGGCATTAGAAACACCTACAACCCTAAATTTTCACTCTTCTACCGCCAACCCCTAATTTTATGACGGTACTTAGTTCGCTGGAACCGCTAATTCTTAATAAAAAAAAATTTTCATTTATTAAATGTGATAAACAATAAAAAAACAAAACAAAATGGAAATATAAAAGAAAAACTAACTCTCGAAAAACGTTTGTATACCTTTTACTTGCGACAAGCACCTGCTTAAAAAAAATTGGTTAAGGCACAGATAATTTTCTATTTTTGAAATATATATTTATTAACATGAATCTCTCACAAAGCCATGGAGCATCGAATGTGTGACGCCATTGTAGATAATAACATGGACAATACGGAATATCTAATTTGTATTCCTTAGACTTTTATTTAAAATCACGTATGACTTCAGCATGAGTTGCTTTTACAACTAAGAACTTTATTCAACGTGCTTAATTCAATTGAAATTATAAATTTACATCTAAAAGAAAATAAACCTTAAAGGAACCAACAGTAAGGTAAAAAATTAGTGTAAAGTTTTTGAAATGGCTTCTGAAGGCCGACAACTTCACTTCGGTTGCGTTCAAAAGCTTATTCATATCCGCCTTATACTTTTGTACTGCAGAATTCTTGTTGGCACTGAGGAAAGTTCACTAGGAATCTATGCTTCGGACTTAAGGTTGAATTTTGCTTAGCATACTGCTACTTCAACCGCAAGCTAAATCACGGTTTGGCGACACACAAGGTTTAATGTCTTTTCCGGGATTAGCTTTAAAGTCACATACATGGGTTTGTTCAAAAATTGTTCGTCTTTGTGTACAGCCGAAGTTCAGAATGAAGAAGAAAAAGAAGAAAGTTGCTTTTAACTTAATAATAAAAGGGAATGGAACTCTAACAGCTCGCTTCAAAAGCTTTTCCAAAAACAAAACATTGAACAAAAATCCGTTACAGCTTAATTCGTAGCACAGCGTTTGGATAAATCACGTTATTTAGAAACGTAATATGATTGAGCTTTCTAAAATAAATAAGTCATAGATTTGATCCGTTTTATTAAGTAATCATATGTTTAATAAAAAGTAATAAATAGAAAAAAAAAACATTTTATATAGAAGGAAATACAGTAACGTCGGATAAGAAACTTCAATAAGCAACTTCAACTTGTACCCAAATAAGTATTGTTTGAAAATAACTTTTGTATTGATTTATACATATTCAAGCTACAGCACCTATGGATTTTTATTATCTCAAAAAATATATTATTAAATTATTAATTTATTATAGTTGTTTTTAAAACACACCCCTGATTAATTAATTAAGATTAAGCTTGGCTTAGTTATTCCATGTTTTGTCTCTATTCATTGAATAACAAATGGCATTTCAATAATAAGAACTAATTTAAGATTTTCCTCGTTTATTAGTAACGGGGACATTGTGCAACCATTTACTTCACCTTATTTTGAGTTTATGAGAAGCTCAGTTGTGATTACAGCTGATCTAAACAACATATTACCACCAACGTCCTATTAATGCCATCAACGCTAGGGACAGGCTACCCCTCTGGGTGTAATAGGGAGATAGGGCCACTACGCGGGCATGGTGCGGATTGATGGGCTCAACGACATCCGATGCAGCCGAGACTAACCGTTTAAAGTTCTTACGACATCCGATGCAGCCGAGACTAACCGTTTAAAGTTCTTACGACATCCGATGCAGCCGAGACTAACCGTTTAAAGTTCTTACGACATCCGATGCAGCCCAGACTAACCGTTTAAAGTTCTTACGACATCCGATGCAGCCCAGACTAACCGTTTAAAGTTCTTTCTGAAGCACGGAGGAGCTCCAGATAATAAATTATGGTTACCCATCCCATGACCGACCTTTGACATATACTGGCAAAAAGCCTGATGTTTCGACAAAAGACCGGACTCTTTAATCACAAAATCAAAACATTACTCAGTTAGTCCAGTGGTATGGTAGGCATCTAGGCATGGTAGCAGACGCTCGTATTACAGAAAATCCAAACAAATAAAGAGCCGGTCACAGTACGAACTGAAGTCTGAAAGTCTGGACTGATTCGGACGGATGGTAATCATATTTGCGCAATATGCATACCTTGTATCCATCCTTGTTTTTATGTTCGTCAGTCCCAACTGAGTTGTCCAAAGCAGCAGAGGACTTTCTGCTGGCAATGCTCGGCCGACCTCGGATCTTGGGCCTGTTCACACTGGCTGAGAGTACTTGGTCTGTAGACTTGGACACGCTGGTCGTCACCGAAGTGACTTTGGACGGCTTCCTTAGTCTTCTTCTTACATCTGGGGAGAAAAAAGGTTTTATAACAAACGCTTTGGTAGCTCAATGAAATGAAGCTGAACTTTTTCGAATTGTTGCCTTAAAAGGTCTTTTGGATTGTCCAATAGTTTTTCTAGCATCACCATTATCATTAGCCTATGGGGCCTTCCCTATGGATGGAATAGGGACCATCTGGGTTATGACCCACCACGCGGGCCCAGTGCGGATTGGCGGGTGCTAACGACTGCAGATGCAGCAGGGGCCAACGGCTTAACATGCCTAACGAAGCATAAAGGAACTCGAGATAGAAGATTTTTGGTCACCCATTCAATGACCGACCATTGCGAAAGTTGCTTAACTTCAACGATCGCAGCCGAACGCGCTAACCACCCGCGCCATCGAGCTCCTCCTTTCTTCCTACCACCACACTCTTTATTTATAGTATTGAAAGTTGTTTGTTCTAAACTTTGTGGATAATTATATTGGAATGAGTGAAAATTATTGTAAGTGTATAGTCCTAAAGAAGGTTTACTTAAGTTATGTTTTTATTTTTTAAGCATTTAACTGCTAGATGTTTAAATCTAAACAGTTTAACTAGAAAAAAATCCACGCGGACCTGGCAGCGGACGGGACTCAAACCCGCACCCTTCGCAATCCGGGCGAATGCACTGACCAATTATGCTACCACGGCCCTGATGGCCGCGTCGAAATTTTCCTAGCCTTAAGCTGCTTTTTTCGACGCGGCCATCAGGGCCGTTGCATAATTGGTCACTGCTTTCGCCCGGATTTGCGAAGGGTGCGGGTTCGAGTCCCGTCCGCTGCCTGGTCCGCGTGGATTTTTTTCTAGTAAAACTTTTCTTAAAGTTTACTTAAGTTCGTGAGCGTATCAACGGTCCAAAAACTAACACTTTAAGACAGCAATCATTGCTTATACAATGTCTTTTCTTATAGTTAATCATTATTTCTGGTTTTCTTTTTTTTATGTATGAATATTGACAAACAATCTAGCAACCTGTCTAAGAGGTTGTTGTATCCTGTTGACGCTTGCCCTACTCGCACGTTATGCACACTGATCCCAATTCCAACCTAGAGACCAAAAAACTTAGTGTTATATCCCTACAGTCTGTCAATATAAGTCGAAAATCTGATGTGCCTACCTGAGCACTTTGCTTAGAATTACTAAATAAATAAATTTGCTGTAGTACGATAATTTCAATTAATGCAGGACGTATTAGTATCAACACTGTATTTAGCATTAAGCATTAGAGGAACTCGATGGCGCAGGTGGTTATCGCGTTCGGCTGTGATCGTTGAAGTTAAGCATTTTCGCAGTGGTCGGTCAGTGGATGGGTGACCAAAAATTTACTATCTCGAGCTCCTCCGTGTTTCGGAAGGCATGTTAAGCCCTTGGTCCTGGCTGCATCTGCAGTCGTTAGCACCCATCAATCCGCCCTGGACCCGCGTGGTGGGACATTGCCCAATCGCCCTATTCCATCCATAGGGAAGGCCTGTGCCCCAGCAGCGGGAACATTAATAGACTGATGATGATTTAGCATTTGATATACCTACTCCTTCGATATTCCTTAATCAGTATCAAATATGCTTATGGTACTCTTAGATTAAAACAAAAAGAGTAGATACGGTACGCTCATACTAGCATCAAATAAAATATGATCCGACTCAACTACATAAGCAACTCTCGCCACGCACACGTTTGTATATTAGACCATATAAACATCAATCGAGCGAGTGAGACAGAACTATACGCTTCAACGCAGCATATTGTTGTCCTTTTCTTGCTTACAAAATGGCGATTACGTAAATAATATTCACGACAAACCGAGATTTTGGAGAAAAAAATGTTTTCACAGTTTTACGAATGAAAGGTGTTGCCGGGGCATTTGATTTTGAACTACCTATTTGTGTTCTTTATAAAAGCATCGAAGGCATTGTTATATCTTCATAACACAGAATATACGCAATATTGTTATATTGAGTGTACATGCAGCGTGATTGAATGTCAAATTGTGACTAAAGCGAATTATGATCGTGGACCACAATTTAAGCGGATCACTTTTGAGCCGCGAATGCCAGATCTTCCCTTTTTGTTTTAATCTAAGATGGTACTCAAATTATTCAGTGTCAATTTATTCAAAAAAAAAATATTTATCTGTATTGAGAGAAACTTCCATAGGAAAACATATAAAATACAATACACACAACCACTATTTTCCAATCTGTTCCAAGTAATAAAATTCCTGCACACTCTGAATTTCAAAGGCTCATGAGGGACACGTTGTAACTAATAGCCTGTATCTATATACAATCGAATTTCGACCATATTTCTGTACAAAGACTGTCTAAACTCAAATGGCTTTACCAGTGAGGGTATTTTTGAAATAATGGTTAAGAAGGAAATTGTTTTAATGGATAGTCCTGTTCTGTAGGTAACCGAGTATTTTAAACATTGTATAGCCCTGTAGGTAATAGAGTATTTATAACTTATTGTCTTTTGGTATATGAAATTACAACGATACTTAGTAGAACTTCTAAAGATAAATAATAAATTATTTTATCACTCATTTCTAGAAACAATAAGTATTTCACTTAGTGTTTCTCTTCCTGCGAGAGAGAGGCGTATTTGGAGTCAGAAGAAGAGACAAAGTGAGATTACAGACTATAAAGAGTAGAACTAAACTCAAAAATATACATACTGTGTACAAATGCATGAAATGGAGATGGACAGGACACATGTTAAGAGAAGAAAAAGAGAAGTGGACAAAACTAGTCACAGAATGGTACCCACGTGATAGCAAAAGCAGCAAAGGTAGATAAAGTAAACGTTGGGAAGACGACATTAAAAAGACGGTAGGTCCAGAATGGATACGTCTAGCAAAATACCGATTAAAATGGAAAGCTTTAGAGGAGGCCTTTGTCGAAGGATAATCTGTGCAAATAATAAAATAGATAGTTCATGTTTAGTTATAGTAATACATAGTTTAGATATAGTATATAGTAAAAATTTAGTTAAGCAATAGTATAGATAAAGTAAATAGTAAATAGCAATAGGAACTACATAATTTGTATTATTCTAATGCATATTTTTATTTTGTAAGCATTTTACTTAAGCTATTACTATATTAACATCAGCCTTTGACTGCCTGGACCATGTGGAATTATTTCTAGTAAAATTTTATTTAGATATATGCATCTAGCAGTTAAATGCTTAAAAAATAAAAAAATCACTAATGTCTCCTTCAAATGTTTAATACTTGTAAAGCTATTCATTTGTCATTGTGGGTTACCTACAATACGGAGAGATGGCGCTGCCTTGCAGCTTAACAAATACTAGGGAAAATTAGACACGAACTTAGGGCCGCAGTTGCATAACGGTTAGTGCATCCGCCCGGGTAGCGGAGGTGTGGAATTTGCATTGGTATATAAAAAATGTAACAGAATAAAAAAAAACATTCAAGTTCACCCACAAAGAGTTCCCTTCTGTAGCACATTTGAAATACAATGATTATTAAACTTGTGCAACACTCTTCTTATATTCAAATCCTCATACATCAAGATACGAGGCTATTGAGATTAAAAAATATTCAAATTTCAGTAGGGAAGATGGTTGGTGTATACCACCATCTTGGGAACCCATTATACAGGAGATAAAATCCCAACCCCGAGCACACACTGCAAGACCAACAGATACTATTAGTTCTTTTTGTTTGCATAATAATAATAATAAATATTTCCAACATTTACACCAATTAGCCTAGCCCCAAAGTAAGCACTATAAGGCTTGTGTTATGGGATACTAGGGTAACGGATAGAATACATATACTTTACATATATAAGTATATTTAAATAGAAATACATATTAAACATCCATGACTGGAATACAAATGCTCGTGTTCATCACACAAACATCTGCCCCCACCGGGACTCGAACCCGGGACCTCTCGAGTCGGCGACGCCATGAAACCCGGCGTACAAACCACTCGGCCACGGAGGTCGTCAAATAAAAACAAATAATTTAACATAAGAAGGAGATAGAAAGCCTCTCTTGAGATTGTTTCGCCGGTTCTTCTCAGAAAGGTCTCCCAATTTTGGAACCGGTGGTAGTTTAAGGTAGTTAGGGTCAAATAAATAAATTGAAAATTAAAAAAAAAAGAATTTTAAATAAAGTACTTTATTAACTAAATTAAGTAATAATTCATACATAGACAATAAAACTTTAAAAATCGAACAATGAAATAACCGAACGCTCAATAAAAGTCTTTCGAAGGTAGCTCGACAAAATTAAATAAAAAATTTATTCCGCCGATGCAGCCTGTAAAGGCTGCGAAACGTCAATAAATAAATAAAGTTTCGTGCACTAACCCGTGAAAAACTAGTTTTATTCAATCAAGATACTGATCTATTGTAGTTCAAGAGAGAGAGCAGGCAGGCAGGCTAATGGCCATCCTTTAAGCATGGGACCGCAAAAAGTCTCCTCGACAACGGCTAACTAAAGCCGAGGTCCGAGTCTCAGAGACGATGCTAGTTGAGCCGAACCCCTCAGGTTCGAGTGGTCTAGAGGTTCCAGACGGAGAGGAGACTCCCCCCGTGGGGAGATGCCATCCGCCTGGAATACTTCTAGAGGCACTCGCCCATTCTCGGCTTGAGGTCCCCTTAGAAACTCGCCGTCCCCAAACCCGGTGACGCTGTAAAGGTAATCTACGACCAACAGCATAAACACTCAAAAAAATTGTGTGTGTCAGCTCCGACGCACGACTGGAGTTTACTCCTTAAGTTCGACAGTCTAACCAGACGCAAAAAGAGTTTATTTAACTTAAAAAGGATTGATACTGTATGAAAGGATAAATTAACAAATTAATGAAAATAATATACATATATAAATATATATTTATTCATTTCATATACATTTATTGTAACTAATCGACGAAATATTTTACATTAAACTTTTTACAATACTCAATTTCAGATGTGCATAAATATATCATTAGGAATGTTGATAAATTATGTAATTATTATTATCAGACTATTAGAATTTTTTTAAATATTAATTAAATCAACATTGTCTGCATTATTAATTACAGTGACAAATGGTTTATGGTAACTAAAATAAGACACATGGATGTTCGTAGATACGTGGTTCACGAATCTTGAAAATACCGCATCAATGGTTGTACAATATCTAAATTCAGTTCAGATTTTAAATTTTTTATTAATGTCAATCCGTCATCTTTGTTTGTCAAAGTTGCGCGACATAGGATGCGCACCAAAAACGTAACGAGGTCATTCATCGATAGATTTTACTCCTCACATTTTTCTCATGCCGGGCCCTTTATATTATATGCAAATCGATTCTTAAGGAGTAAACTCCAAAAATATACAAAAAAGTTAAAAAACCAATTAGTATGCTGTACGTATTTTACTGCACTGGAAAAAAAAGGCAGCGAACGGCGCCATCGCGTTATTCGTTAATTTCTGACGCATATTGAACTCACGACAGTCCTGTTGTCCATGTGAAATTTCAGCTTTTTCAGATCAAATAAATTGTCGAATTACGCGCCATAAATTTCGATACTGTCCCGGAGCGTCACAGCGCCTCCATATATTTGAGCGGACGTAAAAAAAAGATAATGCACATGTATGGATATATTCCGACTATGGCTACGGAAAATTTTGATTGAACCACCTACCCTTATATACCAGCGACGGTCTGTGACTTCATTCGCTTTAACTTAAGTTTTTTTGAAAATCAGATGTGCCTACCTTACCTACTTAGCAAGAACCAATATCGAATTCGAATAGTTTGCGAGTCCGAAATGTCATTGTCAAATTTTGTATGGAAACTTGAACAGCAGCGGCGTAACGGACGTAAGAAGAACAAAAATCAGTACAAATTTGACAATGACATTTCGTACTCGAATTCGTGACGTATTTTGCGTCAATGAGCAACAGCAAAAAATATACAAACTTCCACATTTATACTATAAGTAGGATAATAGGACAGCACTGTTTCTCGAATTTAATGAAATTCCATAAAAGTTTTAAGTAATTGGAAAATTAGTTTTTGAAGAACCGAAAAACTTTAGCTATATTTTTCATTAAGAAAGGCTGGCTTCGCATTGAAATATATAACTGGCCGATAGAGACGCCTACTTTAAAGATAAGACACCTGCGACCGTAAATAAGTGGCTAACTTCATATCGAGCTAAACTGAAGTGTAAAATTAAGCAATAATTTTTTTAGAGAGTTGGTGCATAGCGGATTTCACATTTAAATTATAGCGACCAGAGAAATATACGTATGAACCTCCCGTGAAAAAATATTTATGAATTTAGTTGATGGTGAAAATTTGATGATTATCGAACGCAGAAAAGCGCTGGGGACTTTTTTTTTTCAAAAAGAAATTATCTAAAGTTATAAAAAGCTTTTATGTAACTTGCAATACGTATGTTCGGATAACGAAATCTTTTAACAGAATTTTTGTTATTGTAAATCGATTCAGATAAAATTTTGCATACACGTTTAGTTTGGATGTCATGGTATTTGGTTAGGTATGTGACCTCATCCTAAATCCAATGTCCATCACAACCCACGATGGCGGCCTAGTAATAGAGTTAGATCCCAAGACGCAGACTATCAAAAACCAGACCGTACTTCTTTTCTCCGTGAGTAAAGTTAACGATGAACGATATTGTTTCAAAAATAACTTGTACTACCATTGATGTAACTGTCAGTTCGTGCGAGCCCACGAAAACTACCATAGTTTTCGTAATTGTAAATCTCGTACTAAGGGTACGAATCGATAAATCGAATTGTATTAGTGTGTACAATGACCGTATACATACTCGCTAACCTGTGCTGTGACCATAATGTCCCCACTGCTAGGGTACAGGCCTACCCGACACGCGTGCCCAGTGCGGATTGGTGGGTGCTAACGACTGCAGATGGACTGCAGGACCAACGGCTTAATATGCCTTCCGAAGCACGGAGGAGCTCGAGATAGTAAATTTTTCAGTCACCCATCCAATGACCGACCACTGCGAAAGTTGCTTCACTTCAAAGATCGCAGCCGAACGCCCTAACCACTTGTGCCATCGAGCTCCTCAACAATCCTCAAATGAAACTTGTCAATGTGTAATACTTGTTGTCAATGTTTAATACTTGTTACGGTATTCATTGTAATGTTGTGGTTTACTCACTTGTGGCGGAGTCTGATGATGGTGCTATCACTGCTATGATGAGTACGATGGCGACACTCCACCGTATCAATCTCGGTGGCCACTGTAACAAAAAAAACCAAATTAGCACTCAAAATCTTATTAAAATAGATTTATAAATACGTACTCATTGGTATACTTAAGAATAGAAACAAACGAAGAAAATTCACAGATCTCGTGCTTTACACGACTTGAAAGAGCATTGAAAAATGAATGTACCTAATATAGATTATTAAAAAAAACAACGACGGGTTGCACTCCTGGAGTGCCGGCAGAAGTGAAAACTTGATTATTAACGTTGTGCATTTTTGATATTTTGGAATGGTTAGGGAATAATTTTGCACGAATTGCTTTAATTATATCAGTATAAAAGTACTATCATGTATGTGGTAGAATACAATATTTATTTATTGCGCTATCGCACACAAACATGACAATTTATATTACGTTAAAAAAGTTTATCTCTCAGAAAAATCAATTAACATGAATCACGTTTAAGCGCAATTAGCGACATCTATTATAAAAAAATGCATTTTCATCGCAACTCTGTATATAACAATACAGGGAGAAAAAAAACAGCGCTTGCTGAGTTTCTTGCCGATTCTTCTCAGTACAACATCTCCCGCCGTAGTTTTGCGAACCGATGGCGTAGCTTCTTGACCTTCACAAGTGCCAAGTTCACTTGTAACAGCCTAGACTGAATAAATTACTTTTTATTTCATTTCATTTCATTTCAATAGCCGCTTACAATCAGGTGGGATTTTTGACACACAAAAAGTATCTAGCTCACGAATTGTTTTGTATTAAAATCGATTTTGTTATCATATTAAAGCACGTTCATTTATTATCTCCACCAAAAGCATGAATAATTCATACTCATATCGCACCTAATATCCTGCGTATGTTTGGTTATTGGAAAATCTAACCCTGCATTATCGGATTGCATTAAACGCGCGATCGCTGATATTTGTAAAAATATTCATGATATAATAAAGGTGAGAAGATAAGAATTTATACATATATGTTATTTTTTTAGCATGTATCTGCTCGATGTTTGAATCTAAAGAAAATTTTACTAGAAAATATTCCAAGCGAAACAGACAGTAGACGGGACTCGAATCCACACCCTTTACTACTTTTTTTTTATAACGCAGGTTAAAAATCTTTTTACAGACGACGACGCCTTTAAGAGGCACACCGCCGAACGGACCTCACACCGCAAGTCTTACGGACCCCCCAGTGGCTACCCGCCGAGGACCCCGCAACTCTTACGGGCGGTTTACAGCATAATATCCGCTAAAAAAGTCCTGCGAATACCTTCTACACTGCTCAGTGCGGAGCTGCAGGGTCCCCGTTAGGGATTCTACCACGGCTCCGCCCTCAGCAGCTTCCCGGCCTCGCCGGGGCTCCACGGCAGGGGTCTCCCGCGGTATTTCGGGGACCCCGCAGACGTGCGCAGGTAGGCCCGCGCGTGGAGGCTGGGTACGCGGCCTACTGCCCACCATACCGCTCCCCATCCGCTGCGGAGGGGACTTCTGGGCGTACCCGTCCAAGAACCCTCCGCCGCCCCCCCTTTGTAGGACAGAACTACGAGTGGGGGGACACCCTTTACTACCTGGGTGAATGCTTTTTTTTTGAGTGTGTATGCTGTTGGTCACAGATGACCTTTAACAGTGTCACCGGGTTTGGGGATTGGCGAGTGGCATCTCCCCACGGGAGGAGTCTCCTCGGCGTCTGGAGCCTCTAGACCACTCGAACCTGAGGGGGTCGACTCAACTAGAGGGCGTCTCTGACACTCGGACCTCGGTTCTAGTTAGCCGTTGTCGTGGGGACGGGTGAATGTACTAAGCATCATGCTGCCACGGCCCTGATGGCTTCCAAACTTGTAAAGGTATTCATTTGACATTGTCGGTTACTTACAATACGAAGAGATAGCGCTGCCTTGCAGCTTAAGAAAGGCTAGAGAAAATTAGACACGGCCGTCAGGGCCCGGTAGAATAATGGTCAGTGTATTCACCCGGATAGTCCAGGGTGCGGGTTCGATTCCCGTCTGCTGCCTGCTCCATGTGGAATATTTTCTAATAAAATTTTCCTTAAATAATTTATTAAGAACACTTTTAAACTGGTTGTGAAACATAAAAATCTTTACCACATAAAAGTTGAACACTGCCATGTACAAAAAAAATTGTATGACACTTTCTTATTACCTCCGTAGCCGAGTGGTTTGTACGCCGGGTTTCATGGTGTCGCCGACTCGAGAGGTCCCGGGTTTGAATCCCGGCGGGGGCAGATGGTTGTGTGATGAATACGCGGATTTATACTCCAGTCATGGCTGTTTAATATGTATTTCTATATAAATATACTTATTATGTATGTACAATATATGTATTCTATCCGTTACCTTAGTATCCCATAACACAAGCCTTAAAGTGCTTGCTTTGGGGCTAGGCTAATTGGTGTATGTGTTGGAAATATTTATTATTATTATGAACATCTGACTTACTTTTTCATGTTATGACGACTACTATCTGCAGACATAGTCGTAATTATGTTTTCCGAAAATCCGTAATATGGCTAGTGAATTATTTTTTTTTTTTTTTTAAAGGACAACTTCGATTTTAAACTTTTTTCTGTACTTTTTTTTTTCTTTTTTTAATTACACCAATTAGCCTAGCCCCAAAGTAAGCACTATAAGGCTTGTGTTATGTGATGCTAGGGTAACGGATAGAATACATATACCGTACATATATAAGTATATTTATATAAATACATATTAAACATCCATGACTGGAGTACAAATGCTCGTACTATTATTGTGCATTAATAATGAGAAGAAACATTGCCATAAAAATATTTATCCGTATTTTACAAGCGGCTTTACTGATTCTCTATTCTCCCTTCCGAGCCATTTTCGTAATGGTCCGCCCTCGAGCGAGAATTACCGGATTCTACCGGAAAATACCGGTTCCGACTATATAGTAACGGTTGAAAAAATGCCTGGATTTACGCGGCCTACCCGAGGACGGGACATTTTTAAACGTCAGCCAAATTAAATACAGTCAGTGGAATCCATTTTATTAGGTCCTAAGTGAATGAAAATATGGTAAAAAATAAGACAGCTTTGTGAACAATGAGTTTTAGAACTATAAGACATGCTATTGTTAATTTCATGTTTTTTTTTATGGATAGGGGGGCCAGCCATAATATACTTCACAACTTAAGGGGGAAGAAGGGGGCCAACGTAGTGTGAAATTACGGGACAAGAGTTGGCAGGGTTCCTAAGTTTAGTGACGTCATATTTCAAAATCTAATACGTACTTTTGAACTATTGTCAAAAATCTTTAAAAAATGTAGATCTCTCTCTATCTGTATGGGGTTTCATTTGTTTTTTAGCCAATTTTCAGAAGTTATTTCCGGAACTGCTGTATTAATAATAATTTATAAATTCAAAATAGTAAAATAGGGACGCCGCGGAGTAATCCATAAACGGTGATCCCGCAGCTTCGCGCTAAGCAGCTTAGAGGGTATTCGCAGGGTTTTTAGCGGATATTATGCCGTAAAACGCCCTTACGGGCGCGTAACGGATAAAAAACATATACTGAAACATATATAAGTATATTTCATCTAGAAATCTAAATAAACATCCATGACTAAAGTACAAATGCTCGTTTTCATCATACCAACATTTGCACCTATCAGGATTCAAACCCGGGACCTCTGAGTAGGCGACGCCATGAAAACCGGCAATATGCTACACGGCCATGGCGGTCGTATTTAGTAATAACAAAGATTTTTTTTCATATTTTATTAAGATTTCAACTGTTTTCATATTAGAATTACAGCCCTTTTACAGACTGAAGGACAGACGGTCATCGAAGACTTAGCATTAAGGTGCTCACCCTTTGGGCACTTTAGCACAAACACTGATATCTATAGGAAGGCGAACGAAGTTTCTTTCTTTAATAACAAACCTTAAAGTACCTCTCAAATTTGGTCAGTTCGCTTCAATCGATACCGTTGCGTTGTTTCATTTTTTCGAAAAGTTGCAAATAATAAATTGGCTACTAAAATATCACAAACGCTCAGTTAGGCCCGCATAAAGTTTGGAACAGTCGGGCTAATGATCAATAGCTGCTATTAAAACTTTTTCGCCAGAAAACTTTGAATTTGAAAGTTGAATATTTACAGTGCCGTCATTGACCTATTGGAGGCCCTGGGCATATTAGGATAATGGGGCCCTTCTTCTTGGGGGACTTCCGTTTAGTGATTTAACAGGGACTAGGGGCTTTGTATTTGATCTGAGGGGGCTCCCTATCGATCGCGAGGCCCTGGGCATTTGCCCAAAGTGCCCACTGGGAAAGACGGGTCTGGAAAAGGACTTTTTGGCGGGATCGGGAAGCGTCACTTTAGCAGTTGTGTTTTTCTTGTTAAAAATTGTGTTGTGACGGATGTAAGTGTCTAATAATGGTGGATTATTAACCACTAAGTGTTCGGGAACATGCACAATAGTTGGCAAGTGAAACAAAATAGCGGAAAGTGTCTTAAGACGTTCCCTCAAGAAGTCCACGGGGAGGTTCCAGTAAATCCCCACACTTTTACTGAAACATGGGGAAAGGGGGATTGACTTGACTGCCACTTACTTTGACTTGACTTATTACTTTCACCACGAGTGCTATAGTATTTGTATACCTACATTTAACACTTGACATTGGCTAAATGCACAAGCCGTGCGAAGCCATTTAGAAAAAAAAAGACGGGTCTGAATTTTTATATTTTTGGGTATTTATTCGCTATTTGTAATCGCATTACTAAATAGGTAGGAATAATTTACTATCTAAATTGAAATCTTGTAAATTAGAACTTTTGGTATTTAGGTCACTAAATAAGCTTATTTTCCCAGAAAGTTTAGTTATAATTTAATCAAGCGGACTTCGTCGAGCGGACCTTATTTATGAATTTAATAGCAAACGGTTTATTAATTCACAGTTCACTATCCCAATTAAGCTAAGCTAACAAAGCTTTCTGGAACGTTTCTTGAGCTAGTTCTACACTGTTGCATAAATT